TTCCATATTTTATGGCCCTGAAGAAGTCATGAATTATTAAAAACATCCATCTCTAAAACTATATACTTTCCAAAAGTTTTCACTACTTATAAAGGTGTCTAATGTGTAAATGAACTGGCAGCTAACAGTTGTCTGTCAAATATATATATTTTAACAAAAGGGAGACTATATGAAGAACTTAAAACAAGTTTTAAAGTTAAGATAGCGATAGTCGTTTGAGGAAAAAGTGTTATGATAACAAAAACGAATAAAAAATTTTTAACGTGTGAATGTGTGCATTTGGGGTTGAGGAAAAAAGGCATTCCAACATAACAGTTCAATGTGAGTAGCATCTGCTGCCAGCAGGAGTATCCACAGGGGGTAAGCCCATGATTCATGGCTCTTTTTATATGTGTTGCACCAGATTGATGGCCTTCAATCATATCATTGCAGCTGCCATCTTGGGCCTTATGAACCTTCCCCCAGTGGATGCCCCTAACTGCTAGGCTTTTCAAGGATATGGATTTTAGGACTGTTCAAATAGTCACCTATTTTTCCAAATATTGGTAATGCAAGTTTCCAAACATGTTTTTGTAAAGTAGATCCAAATACTTTTTGTGTTACCTGTACTGATTATCTGATGCTGGCTTTAGAGGATATCACATTTACTGTTCAAATGCACAGCCATTTTGATTATAGTAATCTAAGCTGTATAAATAATGGTAGTATTTAAATGGGGACTTCCTACTTAACAGCTGAATACTCAGACCAAATATGAGAGTATTAGAGAGTAATAGAGAGTATTAGAAAGTAATGAGGGGAGTGTTTCAGTTCTATCTGCAGACACTTAAAAGATTAAATTATCATGGAAAATGATTCTAGTTTATTCTTCTACATTTGCTATTAAGTTCCGATTCCAGTTTCAGAGTTCATTGCTACATTCTCAATTGCTACAATCCATTCTATCCCTTCCAGATTTTATCGACAAGGCCTCCCCTTTCCTTCTGCTTCATATGTAGTAGAACATCATGGCTGGCCAAGACATAGCATTAAGTCTTACGAAGGCTGGGGGTCTGAGATTTGGATTAGCCACTGATTTATGAAATAATGCAAGCAAACTTCCAGGTAAGTCACCTTCCAGCTGAGATTGATTTCTGGTGACTTACCTGGATGCATCTGTGCAGCTTTTGTGGCATGAGATGGAAATGATTTGTCATTACCTTCTTCTGGGAAGTTTTCAACTTTTTCAACTTTTTTCAACTTTTCAACTAGCCTACAGTTTAACCTTGCAAGGTGGCATTGCATCTAAGCACCAACCAGGGCCAACCCAGCAGATGCTATGAAGGACACTTTGTGAAATATCATTGATTTTAGATAGGAAAAGAAGACCGTGGCTGTTAAAAGAGGACTTTTAAAGAGAAGGGTGGCATATTTTCAATGAAACAGATCAATAATGAAAGCTGACTGGATAGGAAGTACAACTCTTGAATGAAAAGATGAAAGGGCCATATTGAAGAGAATAGGACAAACCCCTGACAAGACAAATGGTAAGAAAGTAAACAGTATATCCAATAAAGCAAAGATAGATGGGGAATGCACCAGAGCCAGCAATCAATGTGGATTGATTGACTAATGTGAATTGTGCAAGGCCTGGAGGAAAGAAAAAGGCTAGCATGCAAGTTGGAAAACGAAACACAATATGATATTGGAATTCTTTGGGGAAATAAAAGAAAAAGACCGATGTGAAAGCAATTGATTTGTTCAGACCTGGGGATGATGAAAAAGACTCCGTGATGGCATACTAATTATGCTGATAGGGATTTATGAGCCTGTTTTTGGTAAATAATCTGTGGATTATCTGATGGAATTTTATTACCCTATAATGCTGTATAAGTGTGCAGAAGCTCAAATAATCTTAACTGTACTTTTGCTCAGCTACAGTTTTTATTTATTTACTTTATTTTTAAAGGTATTTTAGCCCAAAGTACAACTTCTGCTTGAAAATTTAATAACAACCTGAATCCAAAACTGAAGTTTGCTATGGAGGAATTTAGATATGCTGAATCTCTCATCAGATATAATTCTTATTTGAACATTTCTTGGTATTGCTTTGGCTAAATGACCCACTTGATTCTGGGCTGACAGCTGGGACATAAACTTGGAAGGCATGAGGAATAACAAGTTTGTGGAGGAGCTAGAATCATCTATAGCTTCTGCTAATGAAGTTAAATAGTTTTCCTGTGAAACATCAAGATTTATACAGAATTCAGTGGTACCCACCATATAGAGATGGCAAGAAAAATGACTCAATATTCACAGATCTCCATCCTAAGGTAGGGTAGTAGGCTAAAGTGTCACCTGACAAACCCTAATGATGACTTGTTCTGTACATCTTCATATACTACTCAGCTGCTTGCTTTAATTCATTCCTCTTTGAATTTTCATTCTGCAGAGTATAATTACTTATTCTTTTACCCTATCCTATCCTGAAGCCCAGGGCCATTGAATGCATTCATGCCTTCCACCAAGCTTTAATGAGTTTGCTATGATTTTGGCTTAGCATGTTCCATGAACCCATCCAACAGTGATTTATTTAATAAATTGTAATTAAGCAAACTATGGCTTAGTTTGTCTGAATCCAACCTATTTGGAAGTCAATAACTATCCTTGAGTTGGTCACCCATTGCATCTTAGTTTTGTCTTTCTGTGAATAAGCTCCATTCTAAGCATTTCTAATTGACTCTAATAGTTCTGTACCCAGTAGAATCTGTGCCAACATCCAATTAAATGAATCATTATTATGGGGAATGTAACAGATAATGGACTAGTATTTGAATACTCAGATATAAAATACAACTTGAGATTAATCCTTTGGAAATGAATAATAGCAATAGTTATTTGATAAAGAAGTAGTAATGAAAGCCACCTCAGAGTGTGATCTACTCTAATTCTCAGCAAGACCATCTGAAGTGTGGAAGGTCATGGATTTTCTATTTCCTTCTCCAGCTCACAGCACAATCTGAGCAACATTGGATACTGGTAATGAATGCAGATCTTTGAAACCAACAACAAAGGGCATAAGTTTCTGCCCTGATTATGCGAAGGCACAATTGGTAGAATATAACCATTATGTGATAGACTTGTTGGACACAGAAGTGTGGATGATGAGAAATGACTAAATAAAATAATGTTCTTATTTATATTTAGATATTGTGACAAGTATCTGCATTGTCGCCGGTTAATACTTATCCTGTGTGCAACAGTGATTTTTTTTTTTTTAACTTTAGTAGGTATCCATACCATTTTGAAAAGGATCAACAGTTTTCAGGTCTTTATAATATATAGCAACTTTCCATGTTCAACTCCCAATGTTTATAGTTAGCCCAGGTTTTGCAATCTAGAAGGGCCCATAACAGGCTGGTCACATGTCTGGTAGACGGCAAAGTGAGTAGTGTATTTAAATGAAGATGGTTGTGGTCAGTGATGACAAACATTTTGGGCAAGTGGGCAGAGTTTACAAGAGGGCAGGAAGGTTGAAGATAAAGAGTCAACATCTGAAAAAACTGGGAACGTTGTTGGAATATGAGGTAAGTGGTAGGAAGGGAAGGTTAGAATGGATGAAGGACATGATAAATGAGGATGGGGCAGTGTCCAATGAGTAAATAGGTGATCCAGTGGCAACTAAAAGGATGGCAGAGGGCAAGCAGGCAGTCAAGTATTGAAAGCAAGTGTGTAACAGAGCCCCCTTAAGGCATCTATTTCAAACCATTGCTTCCATCACACCAAGGCAGTATGGGATGATGGTAATTATAGCCCAACATGCTAGAATGTATCAGGCTGAGGAATGTTTACATAATGGTAAAAAAATATTCTTCACAGAAAAAAGTTCTAGTATCTCTGGAAAGCCATTACAGGCATACCTGGTGAAGTGCTTTATGAAGTAAATCCTGTGTTCCCTTTCATCCAGGAAGATCTCTTGAAATTAAACTCATTGTTATTTAATCTTCATAGGTTGTAACTCAACTACCACCTGGTCTTTACCTTCAAATGATGCATTTAGATTATAGGTTCCCTTTTTTTTTTTTTTTGATTGGCACTTAAATTTCAGTTGGATATCTCTAGTGAGAACACCAAGATCTATTGGGATTTTGCAATCTCCTGTGGTTTTTTGTTCACCTTTTTTTTATTTTGGTCCATGCAAAGAGGCTACCCACAGGAGACCATTACCATGTCATCAGAAAAAGAGGTCATGCATGACACATGCATAATTATAAGTCAGAAAAAAGTGTAGCACATAATGCAAAGACTTCTGCTCAAAGACTACCAGTTTTACAGGTGAGGAATGTTGCAGCTGGAGGTAAGCCAGACAGCCATGGCAGATGACTTTGGCAATCATTAACCCACCCCTAAATGTATTTATTTATCTATTTACACACACACACACACACACACAGAGTATATACAAAAATGTTGCTTGTGCGGCAACAAACTTACCAGGAAATAAGTTTCTATAAACTCTCTATGACTTAAAATAATGTCTTTGGCAGGTCCACATGACCTCTTATCTTTGGACTTAGAAAGGAACTTGAGGCTAGATGACAGAAGTGTGGAAATTGAGGAGGTCACAAAGATGGAAGGAAGGCCAGAAGTGTTAGTGTTGCCAAAAAGGATACCATGTGAGGTAAGTTCTATTAAAGAAAATGCAATCCCCACAAATATATTCTCTCTGTTCCATTTGAAAGAAAAAAGACACAAAAACAAATAAATCTCCCCAAAGTTCTGCTGGGGGGTTAGACTTTAGGTTAGAAAAAAGGAGCAAGATTCTTACTTTTTAACAACTGAAGCTCTGCTAAACAGATATATGATAATAACTTTGTTTTTAAATATTTGAGAGATCCTGTCAAAATCAATAAGCCTGAAAGTCTGTTACTGCACTTATTTTAGCCCTGAAACACATGGTGGAAATAGGACAAAAGAGGTAGAGAGACATTTTAAACTTTTACTCACTTTTCTCTGAAATTTCCACATGAATCATTTTTCTACAACCCTGCCCCTCCATTGGCCCCTCCTGCCAGTGCTCCTTTCGTCTATATCAGTGTTGTCCAAACTTGGCCACTTTAAGATGAGTGGACTTCAACTCCCAGAATTCCCCAGCCAGCCATGC